CCAGCTTAGCTTTCTGGTTTTCCCTTTCCTTTTCCAAAGCCAAAATTAGGGATCTGGCAGAGCTATATTAACTTCACATTCTGTCTGCCACTCCTGGTGGTGTATTAAAGTGAAAAATGTATCTGCATACATCACTTCATCCCATTTTCCCTGCCGCCTCAAAAACAACATTAATTGTAACAATGTATTATAATTCAGAGTTCCATTTTTAGGCCATTCCTCCTGATCCCCCAGAGTATACAACGGCCAGCACTGGTTACGGTATTTCACCGTTTTCTTATTTACTGAGCCCCCAGGAAACCGTCTCAGCTCTTTCCAATGTGCAAAATGCACCCTAAAGGACTCTTTTTCAAGATCTCTCCACTCTGCGGATTTCCCATTATTAATCTCGCATTCACACACATGCACACACACAGTATCCCACAGACACGCTCCACACAGTTACAACACTTGAAACAGAGACAACAATAACGCAGTTATAACAGTCTGTCACCAATGCCAAAATCACAAGACCAAAATCAAAACTATAACAACCCACAACGTAAGTCAAATACCAGTAAAAATCCAAAACTTTTTCTACAAGATGCCCACTGCGTCTTGCAGGACCAAAACCACGAGAAGCCCCCTGCTTCTTCTGGGTGTATACCAAACGGAGGCTAGCAGTCGGGTATACGCATTTACCCACGAGATTTCCTATCTCGATTTACGGAAGGCTTCCAAACCTTGCGTACGCTTACCAAAGCAGTTTACCAAACAGAGATGCTCCCTGCATCTTACAGACTATATAAATGAAAATAATACCTTTCATGAGATGGTCCTTGTCTGCTCCCGCAGGGATCCAAATGAGTCAAGGGGTCCCTCCGGGAAAAACTCCCGAGGGCCCTAGGGGAGCCCTGTCCTCAGCGGGTCCTGCAGCCAAGCAGAGTGTGTCCCATCTGGGGTGCCAAATTGACTTGGAGAAAACTCCAGGAACTCGTCAACAAAGTTTTAAGTTGACAAGCAGGTATTCTTTATTGCGGCGCCGGGAGACATGGGAATAGCTCCTCCAAGCGTGTCTCTGTATTGCCATGCAGGCCATCCTCATATTACATCATTTTAAAGACAGTTTCCAGCATGCATACAAAAATGTGGTGGTCTTTAAGGGGGTTTACTTTTCCCAACAAGCTTAATTAACATTACAGACACAGCAATCATCCTGCCCTTTTACTTATCAGTTAGTTTAACTGCTCCCATCCTGGACATCAGCTAGTCTTGGATACTCCCCAGTAGATGTTTACACCAGCTTAATGGCTTTATTAACACCAAACATAGCAATCATCCTGTATTTTTATTTTACTCCTGGTGCGACTGGAGGGAGGGGAGGATGAATAACCCAAAAATAGAAAGTAGAAATCAAATTGGTACAACTGGGGAGGAAGTTATCTGGGACAGCACTGGCAAATACATTTTTCTGAATTATTGAGACCAATATTTGTTGGTGCTAATGAATACTTTTTCAGGGTGGCCAGAAGCATTCCCTTGTAGAATAAATAATGCAAGACAAGTAATTGGAACATTGTTAAACAGTGTAATACCTTGCTCTGGAGTACCAGAGGCAATTTCTTCTGACCGAGGCTCACCCTTTAGTGCAAAATAATTACAAGAAATTAGCAAAAATTAGAAATTAATTGGCAAATACGTGTTCCATACAGGCCAGTGGGCAAGTTGAGAATATAATAAAACAACAGATTAGTAAAATATGTCAAGATACTGATTCCAAGCTTTACCACTGGCTCTATTAAGAATTTGGACTAAACCTCAGTCGCAAGAAGAGGCTATCCCATGTAAAATTTTATATGGAAGACAATATCAGTCCCAGTTTAAAGGAGAAAGTCTTCTGGAAGTGGGAGAAGGTTATCTCCTAGAGTTTCTGATCAATCTGGGAAAGCAATTAGAAGAAATAAGAAAATACTGAGGACAAGAGTGAGAGGCGTGGATTATCCGACTCGCCCTTTTAGATCCAGAGACTGGGTTTATGTTAAGAATTTTTCAGGAGATCCTCTACAGGAGAAGTGGAGCAGACCGTACCACATAATGTTGATCACCTTTACAGCAGTGAAAATAAAGGAACAACCTACTTGATACATTATTCAAGAATAAAGAAAGCACCAGAACCAGAGAAGACATGGCGGATCGAACCTTCAGGACCCTCGCATATGAAACTATATCAGTCATAATTTGGATTTATGTGATAACTGACATACCAGTTTGGGACTAATACTTATAGCTGAAATTAATGCAGAATGTTTCTAAAGTTGTTAATTGTAGTGACTGTTGGGTGTGTGCAGAGTTGCCTGAATCAGGAGAAGATCAGGGCCTTCCATTAATTGGCATTCCAATTTCCAACACTGTCTCATGGACAATTTTAAGATTTGGAACAGGTAATCCTAATCCAAGTATTATACTTGTACACAAAGATGTATTACACCAGGAACCAGAATAGGAGACTATGTTTGTTTAAATGCCACAGGTGTAGGTCACTATTCACATTGTAATCACACTATTAATATCGATGGTACTGTGGTTCAGTGGTGGCCTGCTCCTGAAGGGAAAGGATGGTATTGGTTAAGTAAGTGAGGGTTTAACCCTATTTCTGAACAGAGTACTGCATTTCATAGTTTTGTGAGATGGCTAATTCCATCTTTGTGAGTAAGTGAATTAGAGAAGGCAATCATAAATATCTCAGCAACCATAGGAAATAGGAAGTAAAACCATTGATATAATCCCAGTGGAACAAGAATCAATGACATTTGCTTTTCCTGAAACAGATCTGGAGGAAATCTGGAAACAAGCTAATATATTTAATAAAATGGCCAAGGATGATACCTCCTGGGGTTTGAAGACGTTACCTTCATGGTTACCTGATCTCTCCTGGCTAAGGCAACTGGTTGCAGGAATATTAATATTAATTGTTTTAATATTGATTACTTGTGGTATAACAAAATTTTCTTCCTGGAATTATAAATGATCTGTGACAAATTATGAAGATTGAAAAAGAAATGTAATGTAAATATCAAGTAGAAACAGGAAACTATTTCAAGAAGATGGTAATAGCAGTATATAAAATGTTGCAACAGAGTTTTCAAAAGGACAGAAAAAGGGGTATAGACATTTGTTGGTACTAACAGGCACCTTTTTAAGTTGGCCAGAAGCCTTTCCAACTAGAAGCGCACAAGCCAGGGAGGTAACAAAGATATTGTTACAGGATGGTTGTGAGGATTTCAAAGGTATGTGCTGTGTGAATTTACCTGATCATTCTGAATCAATTCATGCTAAGCTGCGAAAATCGCATGAAAATATGCAAAAGCTTAGAGTTGTTGGAGGCGGATTGGATGAATGTCTAAATAACGTAGGAGTTACTGGATAGTTCAGGGAAATACTTAAACAAGGCCTTCTAATCTTATCTATAGGATTACTCATTTTAATGATTGTACCTTGCATAATAAAATGTATATAGAAATCACTTCATAAATCAATAGAAGGAACATGGATAGATATGTCATAAATAATAGAGTAAAAGAATTTACTCACTTTATAGAAAAAGGGGGGATTGATGCAGAGGGTTGACCAATGTACGGGGGGGGGTTGTACAGGGGGGTTGTACAAGGGGGTTAGAGGAATTCACTTGCTTAACCAAAGGTATTGTCTGTACCTATCATGCCTACTAAGCAGAACAAAGGCACTAACTATTGACATGGAAAAGCAGACACCTTGTTCTATTGACAAGGAAAAGCAGATGCCTGATGCTACTGATAAGCAGCTATTGATAAGTGTCGTGGTTTAACCCAACCAAACAGCTTGTTCACTTACTCCCAGTGAGTGGTGCCAGGCGTTAGTCCGCCCCCCCCCCTTCCCCAGGGGCTGCCGCCCCCTTTCCCTGCTCCCAGAGGGGTGGGGAGGAGAATCGAAGGAATGCAACTCCCACGGGCTGAGATAAGAACAGTCTAGCAACTAGTGTACAATGCGAATCACCACTGCTACCACCAACGACAACAATGATAAGAGAAAACAGCAAAGGAAAGGAGTACAATACCACGCGCCGAACCACCAGTCCGACCCGGCCGACCCCCTCTCCTTCCGGGTCCCTCCCAGTTCCCCCCTCGGCATGACGTGCTGTGGTATGGAATACCTCTTTGGTCAGTTTGGGTCAGGTGTCCTGTCTCTGCTTCCTCCCGGCCTCCCCTTCTCCCTGGCAGAGCATGAGACTCACAAAGTCCTTGGCCAAACCAAAACATCATTTTTATCAGCTTTGTTCCCAGCCCGAAAGTCAAAACACAGCACTACACCAGCTACCAAGAAGGAGAAAAAATGACTGCTGCTGCTAAACCCAGGACAATAAGGAAAAGCAGACCCCTGAATCTACTGTTAAGGGGGAGAAGCAGATGGTTTATGGCTGGGACCAAACCCTAAGGCCATACGTGAAGTCTAAAAGGTGAAAAGTTCAAGAAAAGGAAGACTCATTTACTTCATCTTGAAGACCCCTACCCACAGGAGGAAGACTCATTTACTTCATCTTGAAACCCCTGCCCATGACCAGAGGGGGCACTGCACAGGTGCAAAGGACCTTCTAACTCATCGTAATAGGAAGCGGGATTAGGACATGAATATGTATAGGCGTATGGTGCAATCTTATAAATGTAGAGGGAAACAACACTGTGACAAGCATGACTTTGAGGAATTATCCCCGTGTGTCTCAGTGCTGAATAAAAAGCATACCTACTTTACAACTTTTAACAAGTTGTGGAGTCTATCCGCGCATCACTCCCACACAGATATGCTCTCAGTTGACTGGTTCTTCAAAAAGAGACCAGTTAACTTTGTACAGTTCCCACGGGTTAACTTCAAACCAGCAATGAATCGGTATCAGTCTTCATTGGCAGCCATCGCTTGTATAAACAGACGGGTACATCGTGCAGGGATCCATCGTGGTCTTCGTTCTGTGGAGATACAAGCATAAAGGACATTCCCAGTTATGATTTTCCAAAGACTTTACCATTACCATAATGGGTTCCTTCCCTGGAATCAGATCTGGGCCTACATGGGTTAGTGAAGAAAAATGCCTAATCACTGGGGGTCATTCATGCCTGTGTGTAAATCAGAACTGGATAATGTTAAAAAAATTAAGGCAGTCAATGCTTTATTGATTCGTGCATTTGGGGTGTCATGGTTTAAACCCAGCCAGACAGCTTTTTCACTCACTCCCCCCCTTCTTGCCCTCCCCCTACTCCCAGAGGGACGGAGAGGAGAATCGAAAAGAATGCAACTCCCACGCATTGAGATAAGAACAGTTTAGTAACTAAGGTATAACACAAATCACTACTGCTACCACCAGTGATAACAATGATAAAGGAAATAACAAGGGAAGAGAATACAACACCTCAGCACCAGCCGACTGATAACTTGCTCCCCCCAGCCCGACCAAGCATAAACCAATACCTCCTCCAACCCTGCAGTCCCAGCCCTTCCCGGGTAACTCTCTGTTACCTCCTGGGCATGACGTGCTGTGGTATGGAATACTTCTTTGGTCAGTTTGGGTCAGGTGTCCTGTCTCTGCTTCCTCCCGGCTTCCCCTTCTCCCTGGCAGAACATGAGGCTCACAAAGTCCTTGGCCAAACCAAAACATCATTGTTATCAGCTCTGTTCCCAGGCCAAAAGTCAAAACACAGCACTGCACCAGCTACCAAGAAGGAGAAAAATGACTGCTACTGCTAAACCCAGGACAGGGGTCCCCTCTCATTTCCCTTTTTTGTTTTGCTAGCATGTTTTTTATAATTTGGTGTGTGCGCTCTATCACTGTTTGACCTGTGTAATTAACATAGCCACCCACTACTCCAGGCAGCATTATTTTGGTAAGATTACTCTGGTTCGAAGTCACTTGAACCTTTATAACATGTGGCATATCAGAGAATCCTACACACCATGTAACAGGATGGAATAATGGGGGATTTAACAAACGTGCCCAGTATACTTGTCCATTTCCCATGGTCATACATAATAGAACAGATATTGCAAAGATTTCTGTCATTGTCGTTTCATTATGTTGTTGAGTTCTGGGGCTTTATATGTTTTGCTGGCAGCCAGTATGGTCCTATCAATAACTGTACACAGCCATATCCTCAGCCCCATCTCAGCAATGGCACTGGTCCTTTCCACTTGTTATCCTGTAGGTCTTTATACAGAACCAGTGGTTTGGGCAAGCAATCACCTGTCAGATGTCACAATCGCTGTATTGTGGAAAGAGAATCAAAATTAGACAAATTTAAAAAAGTTAGTACAAATTGTGCTTTTTGCCAGCTGTTCGTGTGGAGAAAATCCTTGCATTCCCCTTTTTTTTTTTTGTTTTATATATCTACAATCAAGACCTGCTTTAGGTGACCCTACTTGAGCAGGGAATTTGCCGGGTCGGACACGTGGTTCGGCGCGTGGTATTGTACTCCTTTCCCTTGCTCTTTTCTCTTATCATTGTTGTCGTTGGTGGTAGCGGTGGTGATTTGTATTGTACATTAGTTGCTAGGCTGTTCTTATCTCAGCCCGTGGGAGTTGCATTCTTTCAATTCTCCTCCCCATCCCTCTGGGAGCGGGGAAGGGGGGGCAGCCCCTGGGGAAGGCGGGGGGGACTAACGTGGGCCTCGACTGCTTCCAGCCTGGCACCACTCACTGGGAGTAAGTGCACAAGTTGTCTGGCTGGGGTTAAACCACGACAGTTATTTTTGGCACCCAATGTGGGGCACGAAGGGGTTGAGATAACAACAGATCTGACCAGATTAATAGTCACTCGTCACAATGCTGATTTATTGGCTCTCAAAGTTGTTCCTCTTGATCTCACAGTTTCAGGATATCGTACCTTACTTCCATCTGGTATTTGCTGTATTAGTGTTTTTCAACTGTGGGGCTTGGACTAAAGTTTTTGTCTCATTGTACTTTATGTTAATGACTTGTAATACAATAGAATTATTGATCATGAAACTTATCTGGCTTATGTTCCCAGTATGGTCACCACCTTTATACTTTGGGAGGTATATAATAGAAGTGCTTAGCAATTGCACATCTTTTTTCTCCTTCTCAGGTGGTCAACCTGTGAAGGAGACATTCTTTTACCCTCTCAGTCCTACCCCCAGAGCATTTACAGCATCATTTGAGATTTTTGAATGGCCTCATAATGCTGTTGAGACTTGTTTGCTGATTGTGATGGGGATCACCATGTTGGCACGTATACAGAGTGTATTTTGCCCACAACTTTTTAATCTGTTTTCAAAAGTTAAGCAGAGTCAGTTTTGGGTCTTGTCTGGGGTTAAACGACGAAGTAGGAGGACCAAGAGATTTTCTCTGAGGCTGGACAGTCATGAGTGGCAGGGTGTGTGGGACAGTATGGGCAAGTATCTAGGTCAGTGGGCCCCTCCAGTACTTTGGAATTTCACCACCAAACAACTGCAAAATCCAGAAGAATTAGTAAAACACTTAAATGAGGTGTGTGGTCATTCTGGCCATACCAGAGATGGACAAATCATGGCAACGTGCTGGGGCTTGGCCTATGCTTACAGGGCCATGTTCAATGATTTCCAGCACTTTCAAAAGGAAAAAAATGTCGCTGGATCTGAGGGCAAAGCAACAGTCAGTACAGTCACTCCAGCTTCAAGTACAGCAGCTACACCTTCCCCAGCAACAAGTACAGACGCTACTCAAACTTTGGCTGCAGCAGATAGCACAGCTACCCCAGCGGCAAGTACAGCAGCTACTCAAACTTCGACTGCAACAGACAGCGCAGCTATCCCAGCTCCAAGCACAGCAGCCACACCACCCCCAGCAACAAGTACAGTCGCTACTCAAACCACAGTGATAATCACTGCAACTAAACCAGAGGACCAATTCGTACCAATATCGGTTGCCCCTGTACGCAAGAGAAAAAGCAAAAAGGAGGCAGGAAGGTTAAAGCAAGATGAAGAAACAACGTATCCACTACTCGATCCAGAACCTGATCAGGAGTCATCATCACATGATGAAGAAGAAGAAGGAGAGGTGACTTCTCGACTTCGGACCTCAACCGAGCTACGGAATATGCGAAAAGATTTTACCCGTCAACCAGGGGAGCACATCATCACCTGGTTGCTCCGATGCTGGGACAATGGGGCCGATGGTCACGAACTAGAAGGTACAGAAGCCAAGCAGTTGGGATCACTTGCTAGAGAAGGGGGAATTGACAAAGCAATTGCAAGAGAGAAAAAGTCTCTCAGTCTCTGGAGGCGGCTCTTGGCAGCTGTCAAAGAAAGGTTTCCATACAAGGACGATGTTATGAGTCGTTCGGCCAAGTGGACTACTATAGACAAAGGTATCCAGTCTCTGAGAGAATCAGCCATCGTAGAGATGATCTATCACATCAAGCCGAATAACGGGGATATACCCATAGATCCAGATGAAGTCGAATGTACACGACCCATGTGGCGAAAACTTACACGGAATGCACCATCATCATATGCCCATTCATTGGCAACAGTAACCTGGAATGACATAGTACCACTAACAGTGGATGAAATGGTTCATAAACTCCGCGAGTTCGAAGACAATCTCACCCCTTCCATCATCTCAGCTGTGGAAAAACTGTCCCAGGATCTCAAACAATTGAGGGACGATATATCTGACTTATCCAACTCCTCGCGTGTACCAACACACGTTTCAGCTATTAACAAAAGGCGTCCCACTGTTCGAGAAAGGAGATACAAGAGGTATACGCCACGGTCTACCCTATGGTTTTACCTGCGGGATCACGGAGAAGACATGACAAAGTGGGATGGAAAACCTACTTCAGTTTTGGAGGAACGGGTGAGTGAATTGAAAAGAGGAGCAAAGGCCAAGACTGATCGTCCCATGAGAGCTATGGCTTCAGTCTCTGGTGAGCAGTTTCCCAGGTGGAGTGGAAGAGCTGATTTTATACCAGCTCCTGTGATAACTAAAAATAATCCCTTTCAACATGACTTAAGGGCCCAATCCTGTGATGACTATTAGAGGGGCCCTGCCTCCAGCTAGGTGGAGGTAGGGGACAATCGGATTTACTGGACTGTGTGGATCAGATGGCCTGGCACATCAGTCCCACAGAAGTATAAGGCTCTAGTAGATACCGGTGCACAGTGTATGAACTGGAGTCAAAGGCAGCCGAGTGGTATGCCACGATTGATATTGCCAATGCATTTTTCTCAATTCCTTTGGCAACAGAGTGCAGGCCACAATTTTCTTTTTTATTAGAGGGGTGTCCAGTTCACTTGGAACAGACTGCCCCAGGGCTGGAAACATAGCCCTACCATTTGCCATGGACTGATCCAGACTGCACTGGAACAGGGGCAAGCCCCAGAACACCTGCAATACATTGATGACATTATTGTGTGGGGCGATACAGCAGAAGAAGTCTTTGAGAAAAGGAGGAAAATAATCCAAATCCTGCTGAAAGCCGGTTTTGCCATAAAATGAAGTAAGGTCAAGGGACCTGCACAGGAGATTCAATTTTTGGGAATAAAATGGCAAGATGGATGTAGACAGATCCCCACAGATGTAATCAACAAGATAGCAGCAATGTCTCCACCAACTAATAAGAAAGAAACACAAGCTTTCTTGGGTGCAGTGGGGTTCTGGAGACTGCACATCCCAAATTACAGTTTCATTGTAAGCCCTCTCTATTATGTGACCCATAAGAAGAATGATTTTAAATGGGGACCTGAGCAACAACAAGCCTTTGAGCAAATTAAACGCGAGATAGTTCATGCAGTGGCCCTTGGACCAGCTCGGACTGGGCCAGATGTAAAAAATGTATTGTGCACCGCAGCTGGGGAGCAAAACCTGGTGGTGAAGGTACGTCATGTAGATGCCCATGTACCCAAGAGTCGGGCCACTGAGGAACACCAGAACAACCAACAAGTGGATAAAGCTGCTAAGATTGAAGTGGCTCAGATGGACTTAGATTGGCAACATAAAAGTGAATTATTTTTGGCCCGGTGGGCCCATGACACTTCAGGCCATCAGGGCAGAGATGCAACATAAAGATGGGCCCGTGATCGAGGGGTGGACTTAACAATGGACACTATTGCCCAGGTTATTCATGAGTGTGAAACATGTGCTGCAATTAAACAAGCCAAACGGTTAAAACCTCTTTGGTATGGAGGACGATGGCTGAAGTATAAATATGGGGAGGCCTGGCAGATTGACTATATCACACTGCCACCAACCCGCCAAGGTAAGCGCCATGTGCTTACCATGGTGGAAGCAACCACCGGATGGCTGGAAACGTACGCTGTGCCCCACGCCACTGCCCGGAACACTATCCTGGGCCTTGAGAAACACATTTTGTGGCGACACGGCACCCCAGAGAGAATTGAGTCAGACAATGGGACTCATTTCCGGAATAACCTTATGGACACTTGGGCCAAAGAGCATGGCATTGAGTGGGTATATCACATCCCCTACCATGCACCAGCCTCTGGGAAAATCGAAAGGTACAATGGGCTGTTAAAAACTACACTGAGAGCAATGGGTGGGGGAACTTTCAAGCATTGGGATACACACTTACCAAAGGCGACGTGGTTGGTCAACACCAGAGGATCTGCCAACAGAGCTGGCCCAGCCCAATCGGAACTTTTACATATTGTAGAGGGGGACAATGTTCCTGTGGTGCATATGAAGAATTTGCTGGGGAAGACAGTCTGGGTTATTCCTGCTTCAAGTAATGGCAAACCCACTCGTGGGATTGCTTTTGCTCAGGGACCTGGATACACTTGGTGGGTAATGGGGGATGTTGGGGAAGTCCGATGTGTACCTCAAGGGGATTTAATTTTAGGGGAAAACAGCCAATGAACTTAACTGTAGGCTATTGTTGCCTGCTGTGTAATACTTTAATAGCCCATCAACCCGATGTCTTCAGGCCACCAGCGACTAGCCCTGGCTTCCCTTCAACCATCATCCCAACCGAGAATGAACTTTGACAGAACCAGACAAGTTCTACAGTAAGGGAATGATCAGCATCAGCAGGCAACGACCCAATACTGCACGCGGCCTCTCCTGTTCTGAAAGACTGTTACAAGAGATGGAGCCTGACATCATGGGCCAGATGGACTCAGCAGCTTTATAGGGACTAGTCCATGCACTAAGATAGAAGTGCATTGAGATCAGAGTGATGGTATATTGAAAATGTAGGATCTGAGCATGACGTGAATGGTATGGAATAAGGGGTGGATAATGTCCTGGGTTTAGCAGCGGCAGTCATTTTTTGTCCTTCTTGGTAGCTGGTGCAGTGCTGTGTTTTAGCT